CTGACATCAAAAAGGCTGCAGCAGCCCCCCCACTGGCTCTGTGACCGCACCAATGACAGCCACCTCCCTCTCGTGAGCTTCCTGGACACACTGAGAGTTCTCTGAGTCACCGCAAAGCTGCAGCAGCACCCCCACTGGCTCTGTGACCGCACCAATGACAGCCACCTCCCTCTCATGAGCTTCCTGGACACACTGAGTTCTCTGAGTCACCGCAAGCCGGCTCTACGGCACAAGCTGAAGAGCTAGAAATCACACGCTTTATCTGCACGGAAAACACGCCATAAAAGAGCGCCCCCTCCCCAGTCTCCTCTGGAGGCTGGCTGTCCACCGCCTGGGCGCCAGTTGAATCACAGCTCCATGCCGGTCCTGCTGCAGCACACAGCCCCTCGCCTAATGCAAGCCACACACCACACCGGGTCCTGCTGCAGCACACAGCCCCTCGCCTAACGCAAGCCACACACCATGTGGGCGAGGGGCTGGGGACTGCGCCTCACACTCCAGCCGAAGCCCTGTGAAGTCACCGCCCAGGTCGCTGGCTCTGGCGGGGTTGCAGCAGACCTTCCTTCACTGCGCCAGCGGCCCACTCTCCCAGGAAGCCCTTTCCCCGCCAGCAGGGTCAAGGCTGGATTTCCTGCTCAGAGACTAGCAGAGCTGGAGGACCCAAGTGCCCCGGTTCTACTGTCTCTGGGACTGGCCCTGAGGGAGCCTGACTCACACCCGTGTGCTCGCTCTGCTGAGGTGCGGGTGGTGAGGACTCCAGTGTCCCTTTGGCCACAGAGTCTCCCTGTGTCTGCTGCCCACGGTTCTCATTCCTCCTTCCACCATGCCGCACCCGACCTCGCCCACAAGGGGAGGATGACGGTCCGGGGAAAGGAAAAGCAGGGACACTCTGGGGCCTGACACTGTCCCGGGGCCACCTTCCTGTGTGACCACACTGTGGGTGGTAAAGGACGCCTGCCTGGTTTAAATGAGCCTCTTCCACCGAACCTGGGAGGCAGGGCTTGTCACGTCTCCATCCTGCAGACAGGAAGCGGCCTCAGGGAGGTGCATGGCTCACCTAAGTCCGCGTGACTGAGATGGGATGAAAATCCAGGCGGAAGGCTGACTCATCTGGCCTCTCCCAGACCCCAGCCAGGGGTCCCGCCTCGTGTGCCCACCTGCAGGAAGGCCTCAGAGCATCATCGGAGACCAGGGTGGCGGGGGTGCTCTACAGAGGAGTGCTCCTCTTCCCCACCAGATGGCGCCACAAGCCCGGCGCGCTCCCTGTGTTTCCAGGAACAAAGGGCCTGGTGCCGGGTCCTCAAAGGCCTACAGGCCACCTCCTCAGGCTCCGAAGTGCCTCCTTAACTTGGAGTGTCCCTGCAGGCACTTAAATCCCAGCTCCCCCTTCTAGAGATGGTCCAACTAGCCCCTGGGAAGGCAGGCAGCATTTGGACTTCATACTGCCCAGGAGGAAGCTGAGGCCAAGTGGTGTCGCACAGCCCCGAGAGAGCCCTGGGCTACTGAGGCTCATTCCTCCTCCTCTTCCCCCAGAGCTCCCACCCTCCACCGCCTCCTCCTGCTCCCCGGGCCCCAGGCCTAGGCAGGAACTTGTCCTGGGCTGTGCCCTGAGCCTGGCCTCTGCCCTCTGGTCTAGTCTGGAGTTTCCTCCTTCTCCCTCCGCTCTGCCACCCCAGCCCTGCTCCCTCCCCACAGTAGACCCCGCTCTGCCCTCCTGCCACCTCTATAGTCCTCTCTTGCCCTTTGGGGTCTCTGGACTCCCCCTGTAGGCTCAGCCAGGGTCACAGAACCCCAGGCAGAAAGGTCAGGATCCCAAGACCCCAGGAATCTCAGCGCTCAGCCTTGCCCTGCCTCCAACTCTGCCAGCTGAGACCCCCGAAGTCCTCCGCCCTCCTGCAGCTTCCCCGGGACAGGCCCCCCAGGAGACCTCACAGGGTGGCCAGCACCCACTCATCCCAGGGGCCATCTGCTCCCCAGGCCTCCAGGCTGAGGTCCCCCAGGAAGCTCCATCAAGCTGCTCCCAGGCATGTCCACAGGGGCTGTTTGTCCTGACCTGGAAAGTGGGTCACACAGAGAGCCTTCCTGCTCCTGCCCCTGGGGGAAGCAGGGGGCAAAGCCGCTTCCTTACTCAGAGGCACCCTGGTCGCACAGGCCCCACCGCTAGCTCGCTTCACACACTCCCTGGCCGACCTTCCTGCCTTACAAGCGGAGCTGCTAGACAGCGCGACTTCCCTAGGGCAGGTGCCACGCGAAGACACATTGGAGCTCAGATCTGCTTGACAGCAAACGCCTAGCTCAGCCTAGTTTTCAGACCCAGCGCATCTGAGACTGCATTTTCCCGGCTTCTGGGCCTAGGATTCAGGCCCTGGGCTTGATGGTGCCCCAAGCCCCAGATGTGGCAAAATGGGAGCATGGCTGAGCACGCTGGCGCCTTGAGGGAGCACATCCACTGAGACAAGCTGCGAGGCGAAGCAGACACGCCACACGGCTCTTAGCCCAGCAGGCACTGTTTAAAAGGCACATGGCTTAGGAGAAAAGGAAGCTGTAAACAAGAGGCACTAACCCCACCGGAGTCGCCCCCAGCAGCAGGGTTCCGAGGGGCCTGGGGTGCGGGATGTGGAGCTCCGGGCACGGGAGAAGCGGAACCTGCTTACAGGAGAGGGGAGCACTCTAGGTTTGCACAGGGCCTGGGGCATCTGGCTGCCTAGCTGTGTGTGGGCCTGGGAGTAACTGCAGTCCCTCCCCAGGGAGAGGCGAGGGCTCTGGTGGCCGGCCTATCCCACAATAACTCCACAACCCGAGAGGGCCACAGCTAGGGGCCAGAGGCCGGGCTGAGCAGCTTCGGCCTACAGAACCGCAGTGTCTACATCCTGGCAGAGCTCGCCGACCAGGAAGCCACGTCTGCAACTTTAGAGTTGTCCCGCTCCTAGAATGGGCGCTTCGGCCATGCTGGCTGTGTCACTGGATGGTGACAGGGGCATGACCTACGAAGGCCGGTTGCCTATAGACCCAGCACTCCCCACCTCTGTGCAGTCTGAGACCTCATTCAGGCTATCCGCCTAGCCCTGGGCTGTCAGAATAGGGATCCCCTGGGGTGCCCCTCACTTCACTGACAGTAGGTGGAGAGGGGAGAGCTGAGGGGCCAGACCCCTGCCCTGTGCCCTGCTCTCCCCACATCCCAGGGTAAGGAATTGAACCAAAGGAGAAGGGGGCTTGGGCAGACGTGCCTTGGGAAGGGGTGTGGGTGGGAGGCTGATGGGGCACCCAGAGAGGGATTGGCAATAAACCACTGGGAGAGTTTTGGAAAGAGAGGACCGTGGTCAGTGCACACCACAGCACTGGGAGGAGGAACACGCTGAGGAGCAGGCCCTGCTGGCCCGGCCGGAGCCAGGCCAGCGGAGTGCCAGCTGGACATGCCGAACTCTGCCGGGCGGGATTCCGGCCAGCAAGTTTCGTTCACATTTCCATAGTGGAAGAGGCAGGCAGCAAGGGTCACAGGCCAGGAGCCCCATCTCCATGTCCCCCCACCCCTCCTCACCCCCTCTGAGCTCCATGGGGCTGCATCGTCCTGAATTCTGTCACCCTCCTCTTAATCTAGGCTTCCTCCATGTCCAGGACAGAGCCCAATGCCAGCCGGATGCTTGGAAATGCCACCATGGAGAAATGTAAGTGCCCACAACCTGGGTCCGGCATGGTGGGCCTACCCCCGTTGCAGCCAGCCCAGCCCCTGGGCTGAGTCGGCCCCTACGTTGAGACCTAAACCAAAGAAAGCCTGAGAAGGCCTTAGGCTCAGAGCCGCAGGGGCTGGCAGGGCACCAGCTGGGAGCCCAAGCTTGGTCCGGGCTGCTCCATGCTGCCCCCTGCAGGCAGCCACCTCTTCGTGGACACCGGGCTGCCTGACCTGGCCGTGGGACTCATCCTGCTGGCGGGCTCTCTGGCCCTGCTGTGTACCTGCCTCATCCTCCTGGTCAAGATGCTCAGTGCCCTGCTCAAGGGCCACGTGGCCGCGGCCATCCAGAAGGTGATCAACACCGGTGAGCCCGGCCCTCCAGGCGTGGCCACCTCCTGCCCCGCCAGGCCTCCCCCCGCTGTGACTCCTGCCGTGATCCTCAGTATTTCCATGCAAACAGGGCAGGGGTTTTGGAGAGAGCCCTCAGGGCTGGGGGCCTAGGCTGCCTCCAGCCGTGGCTTTGTTCTAGCTGATGGAGGCTCCCAAGGCCACCGCTCAATTCTATGGGCAGGCAGTCGGCCCCTAGCGTGCCTGGCACAGGGTGGTGGTGGGGTAGAGACAGGCAGCGGAAAATAAATGGGGGAGTCCTGAGAAAAAGTCAGGTTACTGCCGGGAGGCGCAGAGCTGGCACTGCAGGCTGTGGAGGAGGCTGCCCTTTGGGTGGGCAGAGGGCTCCCAGGGCAGCTTTGCAGAGACCTAGCCAAGGAGCACTGGGGTGTGGGCAAGGAGTACTCCGGGCCAAGGGAACAGCAAGTGAACGGCTCAGAGTGGGACTGGTCGTGGTTTAGCAGGTCGTGGAGGGGAGGGTGGTCAGGAGCATGGCGGGGCAGCGAGGTCAGCTAGGTGGCGGGGATAGAGCCAAGCATGGCCTCTAGGCTCCTGTTGGCCTCTCCTCCCAGGGGCACTGGGGGAGGACGAACTTCCTGCCGAGCTCCTGGGAAAGCGGCCCCACTGGGGAAGGCCACGTGACACCCGGCTGCAGGAGCTCAGAGAAAAGAGGGAGAATAGGATCTGCCCCAGGGCCTGGGGTCAGGGAGGGTGTCCCAGGGAGCCCAGCGGATGGCTATGCGGATGCTGGCAGCCTACTGGGGCAGAGGGAACGGCCGAGACTGGACTTTCACCCAGGATCATGGAGTAGGGCTGATGAGTCCTAGCAGACCTACCCCTTCCCCTAGGAGGTTCCTGTTCTCCAGTGCGTCACTGACCAGGCCTGCCGGGTGGGGTTTCCTTGCAGACTTCCCGGCCCCCTTCACCTGGCTCACTGGCTACCTTGCCATGGTGGTGGGTGCCGGCATGACCTTCGTTGTCCAAAGCAGTTCTGTGTTCACCTCGGCCATCACCCCACTCATCGGTGAGTGTCTGTGACTGGCCAGGGTGGGGAGGGCTGGGGCAGGGAAAGGGCTGGAGGCGGGAGCTGTGGAGGACCATGTCCACCCCTCCTGCCCCGCAGGCCTGGGCGTGATCAGCATCGAGCGGGCCTACCCCCTCACGCTGGGCTCCAACATTGGCACCACCACTACCGCCATCCTGGCTGCCCTGGCCAGCCCCAGGGAAAAGCTGGCCAGCTCCTTCCAGGTGCGTGGGAGAGTGCGGCCCTGCCTGAGGCAGGACGGTGGGCTGGGGTACGAGGTGATGAGGTGACGGACAGTGTGACAACAGGCAGTGAGTACTTTGTGACTGGCTACTGTGCAAAACGCCCGCTCGCTGTGCTCTGGGCAAAGCACTGTGGGCCACACAGACCCGACACCAGGCTCGAGACCTCGGGAAGAGGAGCTCTAACAGGGGGCCTGGCCCAGTCTGGGGGATCAGAGTAAGTAGGGGCGGATGGGGAGGGCAGATGGCAAAGGGGAAGTAGGTCTAGCAGCAAAGGACTGATTGACAGGCCAGGGCGCTGCCCAGCCAGAGGCAAGAGCAGCCGAGCCAGCAATGAACGTGGGCCTTTCAGCTGCTGGGTTTTGGCAGGACCTGCCAGGGAATTCCTGAAAGGGGTCAGCAGGTCCCGTGATGGGTTCAGGGCGGTGGTTTGCCCGCTGGTCGTTTTACTAACCACCGTAGCCGCGCTGGGGTGCTCGGGCGTCTGCACTGTGGTAGCGTCCCTGCTGCCCAGGTGGGGTCAGCCCCCTTCACCCGGCCCCCTGCCGACTCGGGAGCTGGGCCCTGTGTCCGCTCAGCTCCTCTGCCTGTCCCTGCAGATCGCCCTCTGCCACTTCTTTTTCAACATCTCGGGCATCCTGCTGTGGTACCCGGTGCCCTGCACGCGCCTGCCCATCCGCATGGCCAAGGCTCTGGGCAGGCGCACTGCCAAGTACCGCTGGTTCGCCGTCCTCTACCTGCTGGTGTGTTTCCTGCTGCTGCCTTCGCTGGTGTTCGGCATTTCCATGGCAGGCTGGCAGGCCATGGTCGGGGTGGGCGCCCCCTTCGGGGCCCTGCTGGCCTTCGTGGTGCTGGTCAACTTCCTGCAGGGCCGCAGTCCTGGGCACCTGCCCAGGTGGCTGCAGACGTGGGACTTCCTGCCCAGCTGGATGCACTCCCTGAAGCCCCTGGACCGCCTCATCGCCCGTGCCACCCTGTGCTACGCCAGGCCTGAGCCGCGCTCACCCCCACTGCCCGCCAGGGTCTTCTTAGAGGAGCTGCCCCCCGCCACACCCTCCCCACGCCTCGCACTGCCTGTTCACCACGGTGCCACACGCCTCTAGACGGTGGGCCCAGACTGCAGCCTGGAGCAGGGAAGGGCCTACACGCAGAGTTGGGAGAGAGCAGGGCTGTGTGTGTGTGTGTGTGTGTGTGTGCCACTCAGGGAGAGAGGTGGGCCCAGACTGCAGCCTGGAGCAGGGAAGGGCCTACACGCAGAGTTGGGAGGGAGAGAGCAGGGCTGTGTGTGTGTGTGTGTGTGTGTACCACTCGGGGAGAGAGCAAGGCTGTGTGTGTGTGTGCACCACTCAGGTAGAGAGCAGGGGCTGTGTGTATGTGCGTGCACATGTGTGCACCACCCTGAGAGAGCAGGGACTCTGTGTGTGTGTGTATGTGTACCATTCTGGTTGCTGGTCTGTCCTCATGCAGGTCCGTAGGAGTCTGGACTCATGGGACCGAGGATCAGTGTGTGTCCATGTGTGGCCATGTTTGGTGGTGAGCTGCGTGTCCACCTGAACGCCTGGAGAAGTCTGCGCCTGCGTACACATGCGCCAGCCTGTGCGTGTGTGTAGATGGGTTTGCAGGAGGCTGTGGCTGTGATTTCACATCCTTTGCGTCTGCGTGTGGAGGCCTGTGCTGTGTCCATGAGTGTTGGCAGTGTGCAGCTCTGGGTACCTGCGTCACAGGCTGGCTGCCCCCGCCCCGCACCTTCCCTCCTCCACGTCCCCTTCTCATCCCCCTAGGGCTTCAGCCCCAGCGCCACAGCCCCTTCGGCACTGCCTGGTGAGGAGAGGAGAATTAAACTCTCACGTGCATTCGGACGTGTTTGCTCTCCATCCACAGGGAGGGCGGGACTCCCAGCACTGTCTGCCCTCAGACTCACTGCAAGGGTCCTGGGGAAGCTGAGTCTGCAAGCTCACCCAGGCACTCCACCTCTGTCCCGCCCCTGCCTTCTGAACTCACCCACCTGTCACACTCACTCCCTCTCGCTGGGATAAGAGCAGGGCTCAGAATGAATACCAGGTGGGGCTCAGCAGGCCCCATGGGGAAGGCAGTGGGGGATGGGCAAGAGGGGCCTGCCCAGGGCTCCAGGGCACAGGGTAGAGACTGGCCTACTGCCTCCCACCTTTGCCCTCCACCTCTGGAAAGAAACCAGGCCTCCAACCTACCCAAGCTCTTCAGTTCCTCCCATAACCCTGGGTCTGAGGCTGCAGAGAGGCTCAGGGGCCTTTGGGCCCCAGAAAGCAGGAGGCAGAAGGAAGGCTGCAGGGCCCCAGAGGTGGCTGTGAAGGTACTGGACGCATGCCCTCTCGGTGTGCCCACCTTTGAGGGACTCCGGGAGATACAGGGGCTGAGAGCCAGAACCACTCCAAGCTACCAGGCAGGCAACCCGACTATAGTGCCTCCCCCAGACTACTGGAGGGAGTGAGGGGCCTGGCCTCCGGCCCACTCCCTGAGCCACAGACCGCGGCCCCAGGCACAGGCTAGAAAGCTGGGAGAGAGGTGTTGGCATGGGAAGAGACACTTCCGGAAGAAAGAAGCTAAGGCCGGAGGTGGGGAGTTTGAGGAGCCCCTGTCAGGCCAGAGGCCCCTGCAAGGCATCCAGGGACGGAGGGTGGGGGTACACCGCGACCCCGCCCAACCAGACCGCCCTTCCGCAAGTCCCTTGCCACCACCGGTTCCGCATTTGCACTCCCGCACACGCCACGTTTATTCCCGCCGCGCCGCCCACAGGCAGGCCGCGGCGGCCCATGAGCACCAGGAGCGCGCGTGGCGAGTGGCCCACGCAGACTGCGCGCCCGTCCAGCCCCTTGGTGCGCGCGTCCAGCACGCCGTCCCCCTCCGCCAGCAGGTAGTCGTGGCCCACGCAGACTGCGCGCCCGTCCAGCCCCTTGGTGCGCGCGTCCAGCACGCCGTCCCCCTCCGCCAGCAGGTAGTCGCGGATGACGCAGCAGCCCCCCCGCCACGCTCAGGCCGGTCTGCAGGAAGGTGTTCCGGTCTGGCCCGGTGAGCACGCCAACCTCCTGCGGCGAGATGGCGGCCAGCAGGCCTCCGGGCCGCGACGCCCACACGCAGCGATTGTCCGAGTGGCCTACGATGGCCACGTCGTCGATGCGCTGGTCCCGCAGCACAGCGCTGATGTAGCCCTTCCAGTCGCCCATCCCGCTGGGAGTCACCCCTTCGCTGCCGCCAACGCCCGTGGCACTATGGCGGATGGGGCCGGTCTGTGACGTGGGCTGAGTGACGGCACAGAGCCCTACTGCAGAGCTGCAGCTCAGGCCGGTGGTTACTCCTGTGTTTTATTTGCTAGTGCTTGGGAGGAGGGATGAGAAATCACCTCCCAGGGAGGATGCCGGCCTGCCATCCCTTCTCCCCCATTCTCCTGCAGAGATTTTGGGCGCCCATGGCCCCCTGCCTGGCCTGCGCTTCAGGCCTCCAGATCTGAGACAAACTATGCAGCCCACCAGGTGGGATCCGCCACCTTAACCTCCAGCTGTCTCCCAGGACGTTAACTGTGGGAGGGACTCAATCCTGAAGGAAGAAAGAGGACCCTGAAAACCAACTTAAATATTCAGACCATGAAATAGATGGGTTTGGGACCAGCAGGTGGCATCATGACTAGGTCATTATGGACTCCCGTGTAGTCAACGGATTTCGGGTCCTAGACCCAGCAACTTTTGGGCACGCTCGCACCTGTGCCTGTGTAAGTTACAAGCCTCTGGGTCCAGGACTTGAACTGCAGTCAACTACGTGGGAGTCCAGCGATGTAACCATTACATCATCTGCTGGTCCTGTCACACCTTTTTTTTTTTTTTAATGGGCTTATGAACAGCTGGACTCTCAGCCTGTAAGAGAACCAGTCAGTCCCGACTGGATCTGTCAAACATGAGAGAGCGACAGGGTCTTCTGAAGGCAGGAAAACAAATCCTTGGGCCCTGGCACAGAGCTTCCACTCCGAAGCTGACAGCGGGCCTGGCGTTTGCATGTCTACTGAGTCCCCTGCAGGGCTGCTGGTGTTCAAGGTGGGGTGGGGATGGGGATATTTCAAAACACCATAGTTTGGAGACCAGCAGGTAGTATACTGGTTAAGGCCCTTGATTCTCACATAGCCAACTGCAGTTTGAGTCCCGGACCCACAGGCTTGAAACAACTCACACCAGGCACATGTGCGCACCCAAAATCCCTAGGGGAGGAGGACAGGGATTGTAGAGGATGGAGAAGGGCTTGCGCATGGCCATCCCCTGGAGGGTGATTTCTCACTTCCTGTCCCGCTGGCAAGCACATGCACCCTATGGCAAAAAATCGTAACAAAAACACCATAGTTTAAATGTCAAGCATTCTAGCCATGGCACTCTACCTTGGGTGCGGTGGGATCACCTGGGGACTTTATAAAACACTGTCCACGTCCCCTCCTTTGAAATACGGGCTTACTTGGTCTGAGGTGGATCTTGGGCATCTACAGGCTGAAAACACTCCTCAGGTGAGCCCTGGTGTGCGGTGCAGTGAGGCCTGCTCTTCTGGGAGCTTTAAATGTCAGTGCGTCTCCTATGAGGAGCAATACCAGCGCTCCTAGCACGACCCTGGTTACTAAGCCTCAGTGTCACCGGGCCCTAGTCTACACCATGTGTGTTGGGATCTCACAGGCTTGTCCTAAGAGGGCTGTGCAGAGGCTTGCACCATTTTCTGCCCTGGCCTTTGGGGGGCAGAACCCCTAAGAAGCCGTCCCTCTGTATTTTCAAAGCACTTTATTGAGTTCAGGCACCACACCTGGCATGCAATGGCAGCTCCAGGGAGAGGGGGGACAGTCTCTGCTATCCGAGATCATGCCCAGCCATCCTTCCACTCGGAATGGCCCAGGAGAGAGGGTGAACTCGAGTGGTTAGGCAGCCGTGTGCTCCCGGATCCAAGCCAGGTAGTTGGCCACGTCGGTGTAGACGCCAGGCTTGTTGCGGTCGCCACAGCCGGAGCCCCAGCTGATAATGCCTCGAAGAGTGAGCCGGTGCTCTGCGGCCTTGTCCTCGCACACCAGCGGGCCTCCGGAGTCACCCTGGGTCGGGGACAAGGAGCGCAGAGCTCTCGTCCCCGACCCGAGCGTGACCGCGGGGGGAGAGGGCCCCTCCAGCCGAGGCCTCACCTGGCACGCGTCAGTACCGCCCTCCAGGAAGCCAGCGCAGAGCATGCCGGGAAGGATGGCGGCTCCGTGCACGTCCGAGGCAGAGCAGCGCTCCAGCGAGAGGAAGGGCACGTGCGCCTCCTGCAGGAAGCTGGCGTACTCCTCAGCCCCTGCGAAGCCAGAGCGCCCTCCGAACCCCGCTCCAGGCGGCGCTTGCCGCCCCGAGGGCGCGGATGGGACCTCACCGGCGCGCCTAAACCACTCAGGCCCTTCCGCGCAGCAAGCCCCAGAGGGAGTTGCCCCTAATCCAGCTCAGCAAGGAAACGAGGTCCAGAGAGGGGTCGAGATTTGAAACTGCGACGTGGAAGCAGGAGCCGCACCCCCATGTCTCATCCAACATCTCAGACCTTGGCTCCCCACCTAGTCAGCTGGCTGCACCTCAGGGACGTGAGCGTCCCCCTTAGGCTTTGCAACCCAGAACCCAGAGAAAGCGCAGTTCTCTCTGCACCCCAGGAGATCTGAGGACCCCTGCAGGGGGTGACTCCCAGACCCCTGCAGGAGCTGTCTGCAGAGACAAGGGCCCTGCACGGCCGTCAGGTGAGCGCCACCTCTCCTAGGGACCCTGGACGACACCTACGTTGTTGCTAGCTTCACTGGCCTGTCCAGGTGGCCAGAGGTCTCCCTCCTGCCCCCAGCTGTAGTGCCTACCCTCAAACTGGTGTCCCCAACCGGCCACCTCGCAGAGCGCGGCGTCACTTTCGGCGGGGGGGTTGGCATCGCTGGGCAGGCACACGGGCTGGACGTAAGGCGACAGGAGCGCGCAGCTGCCGTCGGCGCTCTCCTGCAGGCGCAGCAGCGCTAACCCGCCCGAGAGGAACAGGAACGTGAGGCCGCGGGGCCGGGGCAGCGAGCCGCCGCACGTCTGTCCCTCCTCCCCGCGGGCACCCGCACGCACCCAGGTCGTGCTGGTAGCTGATGGGCGAGAAGTCCTCGTGCAGGCGGTAGGAGCGCACTGCCAGCGCCTGGCACTGCTCACAGCTCTGATTGTGGCGGTCCTGGCCCAGCACCACCGTCAGCAGCTCCGGCGCCGGCCTGCGAGCGGGAAGGAGCGGCTCAGAGCCGGCCTCCGAGGGAGCCTCCCGGCCCGAG